CTACACAGAGAAACCCTGTCTCGAAAAACGGAAAAAAAGAAAGAAAAAAAAAAAAAGCTGATATCTTAGCTGGTTTTTATTTTAGGTTGGAATTCTGAGGAAGTAGGTTCTACTACCAGTGAAGGAATGGCTCAGCGGCAGGATGGGTGAACTTGGCAGGGAGTGAGGACAGGCAGGCAGAGCTTCATTCAGGTCTTCTGTTGGCTGCCAACAGACGTGTGGCCCAGATTTAAGTTGAATCTTCTCATCTCAAATGATTCAATCCAGAAATCCCTATGGCCATGCCCAACTACTTGAGTCTTGGTTGGTTCCAGATGTGATAAAGTTTAGAATTAAGATTAACTAGAACAGCACCAATACAACTTCCCCAGCTTGTCACCAAGATCTGTCTTTAAACTTGAAACAAAACCAGATGTTCCGTGTCCACCAATAGCACTCAGGTCCTGCTTGGCTTGGACAGTTCTGTAACAGTGTCTTGTTTACTTGTCTCCCCTAGCTAAGATCCTCTATGGGGCTTTGTAAAGACAAGCACTCATCTCTCTCCTGCTGCCCTCAGCACAAAGCCCAGTTCTTTTCCTGCCTATCTAGGTATGCTTTGCACCAGGTGGACAATGTGAGAGAGTGCAGAACAGACTTGTGACCTGGTTTCCTAAAAAACAAACAAAACAACAACAACAAAAACTGACAAGGAAAGGTTGGACGCAGTCCGTAGGGAGACCGTGAAGTAAGAGGTCAAAAGACTCATCAACCAAGCAAGACTTGGAACTTGGTTGAACACAGTGTAAATGTGTTGTAAATACCAAATGTCATTCTGAAACAGCCCCAGATGAAGGATTTTAAATGAGGGATTGTAGATGAGTTTAGAAATTGGTAATGTTAATAATGGTACTGTGGTTACAGTTTATTTAAAAAGTACTGAAGACCAGCATAGCAAGCTGAGGTGTGACTGAAATTCTCAAATTGGTGTAGGGGAATGTAGAGGTTAATCAAGTTAGGCCCCATGTTGGTAATTGAAGCAAGTTCAAGGATGCACATTGTACTGTCCAAAATAGAACAGACAGGATTGATCAGGCAGAGTAGGGTCTCTGCTTGTCCTCACTAATTGTAGAAGCTTGCTTTGCTTTGTCAAAATCAAGGAGACTGTCTCTCGGCTGAGCACTTGTATTCCTTCACGTTATGGACTCCTGGTGATGTCTGTGTGCAGCAGGAATGGTTATTTCCGTTTTATTTATTATTATTATTATTATTATTATTATTATTATTATTATTATTATTTTGGTTTTTCGAGACAGGGTTTCTCTGTGTAGTTTGGTGCCTGTCCTGGAGCTTGCTCTTTGTACCAGGCTGGCCTCGAACTCACAGAGATCCGCCTGGCTCTGCCTCCCGAGTGCTGGGATTAAAGTCATGCACCACCACCGCCAGGCAGGTTTTTCCCATTTTAAAGATGAAAAAGGAGTGGCTTGTCAAGGGGGAGTTTGGAGGTTTCACGTCAACAACCTGAAAGCCTAGTGAAGTTTTCTAGCTTTCAGGCTTCTTGTTGGGCCCTTTCCTCTCGGGCAGGGTCCTGACCAGTGAGTGCAGAGAGGTGCAGCTGAGTATACAGACCAGCATGCCACATGTGCACACTTAGTAGTAGGCACTGGCTATTACTTTGTTTCTCAGGTAATGTATTCCTTCAGAAAGGAATATTGGTGGTGGTGGCATAGGTTTCTGCCTTTAGTCCCTCATCAGCCTTATGGTAAGCAAGAGCTGTAGGCATCTCGAGTAGAGATGTTTCCCTCTTGTGTGCTGAGTACTTCTAGCTGCCCTTCAGGCAAGTTTAACTCTCAGTTGGCTTCCATCTACCCTGCGGCAGCACTGGACAGGTAATACTCATGCACCCTACACCTAGTGTTTGGGAGATGGCTGCCCACTTTTTTTTTTTTTTTTTTTTTTTTTTGGTTTTTTGAGACAGGGTTTCTCTGTGTAGCTTTGCGCCTTTCCTGGAACTCACTTGGTAGCCCAGGCTGGCCTCGAACTCACAGAGATCTGCCTGCCTCTGCCTCCCGAGTGCTGGGATTAAAGGCGTGCACCACCACCGCCCGGCATCTGCCCACTTTTACCTTGGCACCTTTGAGCATGTTGTCTCAGCAGCCTGTTTATGGGGTGCTATGCTTCACTGAACCCAAGGCTTTGTGCATGTAGTCTCCTAACTTTATTCTTCTGATCTATATACCCATGAGAGGTGCCCCCCATTTATCTATCTATTTATTTACTTATTTTCCTTCTGAGACAGGGTTTCTCTGTATAGCCTGGCTGTTCTATAACTCTGTAGACCAGGCTGGCCTTGAGTTCACAGAGATCCAACTGCCTTGAATGCTGGGGTTAAGAGGATTTGCTGTCAGTGCATAACTAGTCCAGCCCCTTTGTTTTTCTTGGTTCCTTTTGCCTCAAAAAGTGACATTTAAAGAGAAAGAAAGTGAGATAATGATATCTGTCCATTGACTCCTTTCTCTTCACGCCTCGCTCCTCCAGATTCTTAGCACCCTAGGATTGATCCCTGGCTAAGACCAGGTAGCAGGGCAGCTCCTAGGATGAAGTTGCAACTTTGAGGGCCATCTCTTAAGTGGAGATGTAGTTGAAAGCCTTAATGGCTTGAGTCCTCTTCTGTCACCATATTAACAGCCATGCCCTTAGGATCAAAAGGACCGCCACCATGGCTGATTCTTTGGATTTATATTTCGTGTTGGTGGGAAGGTCATAACTGATAACTGAAAGAGACTTGCGAAGTATCAATGCCTGTGACCTGTCAAGAATAAATACAATCTGAAACAAGGACAGTCAGTTTGGACTGGTTAAGCATACTTGTAGGCCACCAGTGGAAGACAGAAGTATCCCTGCTTTCTTGCTGAAAGGTCTTATGCATGCCAGGTGTTCTTCCAAATTGCCCAGGCTGGCCTCAAATCTCAGCAATCACTTTTTCCCCTCTTAAACTCTGTTCCTATCTCTTCTGTGATCTCTTTCCTTACTGTGCTGCAGCTTAAGGAGAGTATGAACACAGAAAGTTCAGCACAGATGTTTAGCTCCCAGCACCCCCAACACTAATTCACTCATTGGAGTTAGTTAATAGTGTTTTTTGTTTTTTTTTTTAAGATTTATTTATTTATTTATTATGTATACAGAAGAGGGTGCCAGATCTCGTTACAGATGATTGTGAGCCACCATGTGGGTGCTGGGAATTGAACTCAGGACCTCTGGAAGAGCAGCCAGTGCTCTTAACCTCTGAGCCATCTCTCCAGCCCCCTTAGTTAATAGTTTTTTGTTTTTTAGATTTACTTATTATATATACCGTGTTCTGCCTGCATGTGTGCCTGCAGGCCAGAAGAGGGCACCAGATCTCATTATAGATGGTTGTGAACCACCTTGTGGTTTCTGGGAATTGAATTCAGGACCTCTAGAAGAGCAGCCAGTGCTCTTAACCTCTGAGCCATCTCTCTAATCCCATTTGTTTGTTTGTTTGTTTTGTTTTTTGAGACAGGGTTTCTCTGTGTAACAGCCCTGGCTGTCCCAGAACTCCCTTTGTAGATCAGACTGGCCTCAAACTCACAGAGATCCACCTGCCTCCCCAGTGCTGGGATTAAAGGCGTGTGCCACTGCTGCCCGTCCATGCGCACATATTTTTGATCCTAGCACTTGGGAGGCAGAGAAAGGTGGATCTCTGAGTTTGAGGCCAGCCTGGTCTACAGAGTGAGATCCAGGACAGGCACCAAAACTACACAGAGAAAGCCTGTCTTGAAAAACAAAACAAAACAAACAAACAAAAAGGCATGTATCACCACCCAGCAAGTGGTTAATAGATTCTTGATCTTTTTCTGAAGACTTAATCCTTGGAGGCCAAATGGGAAGTAGTTACCTATTTTTGCCACTTGATCCTTGTGATTTTCTTCAGCACTAGCCCAGGGTCTCTGCCAAAGGTTGTAGGATATGGAGGAGAAAAACCTATCCTGAACTGTCTTACTTTCTTTTTGAGACAGTCTCACTGTGTAGCCTGCCTGGCCTGGAACTCATTATGAAGACCAGGCTGAGTTCTGTTTGCTTCTGCCCCCTCAGTGCTGGGATTTACTCATGGGCCACCACACCCACTTTATCCTGGACTCTGATTGCCTAGTCTTAGATCTGAGACTATTTGGTATCATGCTTTTCCCTGGCTGTGTTGAATTCTGTCCAGTGAGTGGCAGGACTGACTGTATATATTACGGAACAAGATAGCTGAGTCTCCCTCCAGAGAGGTCCCATGGATTCAGTTACTGCTCAGCTCACTTTGTACTGGGAATGGCTGGCCAAAGTCCATAGTTCTGAAATGCCATTTTGGTGTGCCACATCCTATCTATCTAATGTGATTTTCACCCTAGCAGCCTGTTGTCCTCATCTCTCATTACTTTAGAAAAGGCTTTAGGGAGACCAAACCTGAAAGAGGGCATGTAATCAAGCTTGCTAAAGTCACTGAGCTTTTCTTGTAGAAGGGGGCCTACTTAGATTCCAATCTTCCTGTCCTTAGCTTCTGTCTATTGTTCTTCTACCCAAGACTGTGGGCTCTGTCTACTTAAAAGATTTTCTCTTCCTTGTACAGGGGACCCTCACAATGATCCCAATGCTCAAGGTGATGCCTTCAAGACTCTGTTCGTAGCTAGAGTGGTAAGTACCCAGCTCCTGGCCTGGGAACCCTAGGCTGCTGAGAACCTGGGTCTAGACCTGGGCTGTTTAAGGACTTTGGAACTGCGTGCTTCTCCTGTTTAACTTAGATTTGTCTCTTGTAGAATTATGACACAACAGAGTCTAAGCTTCGGAGAGAGTTTGAGGTGTATGGACCCATCAAAAGAGTAAGTAGGTTGGGGTGGAGGGCTGAGTTGAGGGTTTTTGGAAGAGGGAGCAGTAGTCTGAAGTGAGGAAGAATGCTGGGTTCCCAGCCTGGGAATGATTCACATCTTTTCAGGGCCTGGGTTTATTTCCTTTAGTGTAGCTTTAATGTCAGAAGTAGCATTGGGCCAGGGTGGTGGTGGCACACACCTTTAATCCTAGCACTCTGGAAGCAGAGTCTGATGGATTTCTGAATTCTAGGACAGCCAGGTCTACAGAACTAGTTCTAGGACAGCCAGGGCTACCCAGGAAACCTTGTCTTGGAACCCTTCCCCCCTCTCCCCCAAAAAAAGGGTAACATTGGAAGTGGTGAGTCCTCGTGGATTTATAACACAGATTGGCAAACTTCACCTTGCTGCAAGTTGGTATATGGGTGAGGAGGCAGGCCCACTTAGGTTATAGGTTGAGTCTAGGTAGACGGGTGTTTGGTTTGTTTGTTTTCTGATTTGTTTTTGAGGCAGTTTCATGAATCCAAAGCTGGCCTCAAACTTATTATAAAGCTTTGGATGTTCTTGAACTTCCAGTCCTCTTGTCTTGGCTGTCCAAGACCTTCATTAGGTATTTCTTTTCTGCCCCCAGGACTAGAGCTTACTCTCCGGGCAGCAGTATACATGCTGAACAAGCATTGTACCTGAAACTATATCCCCAGCCCTTGTATAATTGATGCTCTGTGTATTTATTTTTAAAATTATTTTATAAACACAAGTGTTCTTTGTTTGCTTGTATATAAATATACTATGTTGGTACCTCGTTCCTAGATCCCCCAGGACAAGTGTTACACAGAGTTATAAGCTACCATCTGAGTTCTGGGAACCAAATCCAGGTTCTCTGCAAGAGCAGCAAGTGCCCTGGTTAACCATTGAGCCATTTCTGGTATTACTTTTTTTGTTTTGTTTTGTTTTTTCAAGACAAGGTTTTTCTGTGTTGCTCTAGCTGTCCTGGAACTCACTCTGTGGACCAGGCTGGCCTCAAACTCACAGAGATCACCTGTCTCTGCCTCCCGAATGCTGGGAGTAAAGGTGTGCACCACCACCGCCACCACGTATATTCACATGAGTGCAGTGCCCTTGGAGGCCAGAAGGACATTGGATCTCCTGGATTTGGAGTTTCATGGCTGTGAGCTGCCGTGTAATGGTTAGGAACTGAACTTGGGTCCTCGGCATTACATTATTACCTAGTGGAGAAAGGGCTGGTATGTGTGGAGATCAAAGAACAACTTATAAGATCCATTTTCTCCTGGAGATCAAACTCAGCCAGCTCACTTACTGGCTCTTAATGTTTAAGATTGTCCCACATAGTCCAGGCTTGGCACTGATGAGTTCATTATGCAGATAGAGAATGACTTTAAATTTTGGTTCTCCTGTCTGCCTCCAAAGTACTGGTATTACAGGTGTGTACCGCCACTTTTGTTTTTTTGTTTTTTTTTTTTTTTTTTTTTGGCCATGCTAGGGATTGAACACAATGTTTCATGCATCGTAGTCTACCAACTAAGCTGCATCACCAGACCCTTCAGATTTGTTTATTTAGTTGTTTAGTGTCTCACTGGATATGGTGGCACATGCTTCTAATCCCAGCAGTGGGTTAGGCAGAGGCAGGTGGATCTCTGACTTCAAGGACAGCCAGGGCTCTGTTATACAGAGAAACCCTGTCTCAAAAACAAACAGGAAAGACAGGGTCTCTTTCTATCACAAACAGGCCTTATCATTACTAGTTTTTAGATTTACTTATACGTATTTTGCCTACATATGTGTATATTAAGTGTACACAGTACCTTTGCTCTGGAATTGGAGTTAGAAATTATTGTTAGTTGTTCTGTGAGTACTGGGAATGAAACCTGGGTTTCAGCAAGAACAGCAAATGCTCTAAACCACTGAGGAGCCATTTATCCAGCCCGTCCCAGCTTCTGTTTTATTTTGAAATGTCTTGCTATATTGTCTAAACTGGCCTTGAACTTGCTGTGTAGCTAAGGGAGACTTGTTAATTTCCATATAGTTTGCAGATGTTACTGCTACAAGGCAGTTAGGTACTTATTACAGGTTGTGTTACATGGCCCTCAATCTGGGGTGTCTGCTGCCTGACCCTTTTCTGGAAATATGCTGCCAGATGTAGTGTCACACACCTTTAATTCCAGCACTTGGGTGTGTGTGTGTGCACATCTCCGCTGATGTGTGTCTTGAGTTCTAGGACAGCTTGATCTACCTACCAAGTTCAGGCTAGCCAAGGTTAGTGAAGCCTGTCTTCAAAAAAGAGAGCATGCATGCAGGAGACATAGTCAGAAGGGAACTAATTGCTTATCTAGTACCAATTGGTCAGCCCTGAAAACATACATGCAGGTATATATGGACTGAGCAGGTTATATTTAGAGATACACAAACAAATCTATATATGTGTCCGCAATTAACAATAGGCCGTAAGGGCTAGAGAAATGGCTCAGTGGTTAAGAATACTGACTACCCTTCAGAGGGCCTGTGCTCAGTTCCCGGAAAACACATGGTGGCTCACAGTCATAAGGGGATCAGTCTCAAAAAATTATGTAAATAGAAAAGTATTGGACAGAAGAAAAAGAAAGGAAACATGTATGGTGGCTCATAACTGTAATCCCAGCCCTAGGGAGACTGAGTCAGTAAAGTTGTCTTAAGGTTAAGATTAGCCTGGGCTACAGAGTGAGGTCTGTACTAAAAAACAAGAAAGATGGGTGCTGTGCTAAGTTTTTATACCAAAACTCACTTAACTGCTTTGTGCCTTATTTTCTTCTGCTGGGAGACAAAGTAAGACCTGGCGCTCATGATGGACACAAGCTGCTTAGCCCAGGATGGGCCCTGTGGCCTGTCCCTGATTCCTGGGTCTCAGGAACTGGTTCTCTCCCTCAGCCCTACCCCCCTTGAGGCCTGATGGAACCATGTCAGCTTGGAATCTCAGTTGACTTTTGAAGATTGCAGGTTGTAGAGTTAAAGTTTTAGTATTCCTGAGCAAGCTTAGGACCGTATCCATCCATGTGTGGGCAGGTAGTAATGTGAATGGAGGACCAGTCATCCCTGGGAACCTGCTCAAATCCTGTTATTTCCCAGAAGTCTTACCTGTTTTGCCCCACCCCCATATCTCCAAGCATTCTTATCTGGATGCTGGTTCTCTGTACTCAAGCCTCCTGTGTCACTGGCATGTGGAGAGAGAGCCCATAAGCTTTGCCTGACTTTTCATGGCCTTCACAGTGTGGCCATGTGCTCCCTTATCCCTGTTCTGTCCTGCAGAGGCCTCTTAAGTGCTCTGGATCCTCTAGCCTCCTCACCTTCCCATATGTTCGGCTCTGTCTGCATAAGCCTCTTGCCATGGTTGCAGGCAGACTCCTCCAGATAATCCACTTCTACATGGGTTATCCACGGTGACCCTTTTTTATGCTCAGCACATTGTTTATTTCTCACACTTGGCTCAATGCCCGTTTGCCTTTGGCCTCATCTGAGGATCACCATCAGAATGTCCAGTTTCCATAGAGCTGTAGCCACCGCTTTCTCCAGCCTGCTTTGTGGGACCCTCTGCCTCACACATGCTGCTTCTGTGCCCTTTGGTTTCCGCTTTACTCGGGCTCTCACTGGAGTGAGAGTCCCTTGGGACGCTTGAAGGACAAATCTGTTCCTGGTGTGTTCCCCAGCCCAAAGCCTGTGGAATAAGTTGTGTTGTGGGTGGGTGGGGAGGCCCCGTAACTTGTGGAGCTCACTGCCTTCTGCCTGCCCTGCAGATCCACATGGTATACAGTAAGCGCTCTGGAAAACCCCGTGGTTATGCCTTCATTGAGTATGAACATGAACGAGACATGCACTGTGAGTACCTGTGCCTTTGCCTTGCCTTCTGACCCTCTCACCTCTGCTTCCCGGCCTCTCCCCGTCGTCTGCTCCCTCCCCTACCATACCTGACTTTAGCATTGTCTCTTCTCCCTCTGTTTCTGATATATCTTTTTTTTTTATATATATACACGTGTTTTTTAAAAATCAAAAACCAAATCCCCCACAACGTGTGTGTGAGCCCAGGGAGGTAAGTGTCACACGTTGAACCTCGGGCCAGGAGGGCACTGGGTGAGGTATGGGGCCACCTGGAGGTGGGGGGAGGTGTCGGATTTGGGGAGCTTCTCCCCATTAGGCCCCCACTGGAGTTGGGGGCTGCCAGGTTGCAGTGAGAGCTGGCCTTTGAACCAGTCCTCTCCCCCAGTAGAACTGTGCTGGGCCACCCGACCCTCCACCTCCCCAACCCCAGCCCCCACCTAGTTCTCATCAAGCAGTGCTCTGGTGGGCATGTTTAGCACCCACCCACACAGCTACAAAGCCCCATTGAGGCTGCGCGGCGTCCACTTGGGCAGGGCTGGGTGGGTGGGGGTGGGCAGGGCTGCGGCGTGTCCAGGGGCCGCCGTATTAATTGACTGTTCTTATTGTCACTGCAGCCACCACGCAGCTGGCTTGCAGCTGATGCTTACGCTCCCCTTACAACACCTCAGTGTATGGTTGGTATAAGGGTTTGTATCATGGGTAAGATCACAGCACCGCACACCAGCCCAGCTTAGCCAGGCAGCTTAGGAACAGTGAGGCTTCCCTTCCCACCCTAGTTACCCTTCAGTCTCCCTTCACCCACAGCCCTTTCCTCATTTGGGTGCCCTCTACCCCTCTTGCTCCCACCCACATGCTCTCTGGTAATCTCACTGATCCCAAGGGGAAGGGTGGACCTCGGTGGGAGAGGCACTGACCTCCGTCCATAGTCGGGCTCCACCCAGCCCCTGACACCTGGGGCCAAGTTGGCAGTCCTAAAGTTGGGTGTTCTGGGGCCAGGGCTCTGTGTGGAGCCCTTTAGCCTGACCCTCCCTACCCTATGACTTCTGTGGGGTTGTCACCATAGTGGTCTTGGAGACTCTGGTTTCTAGTTTGGGGTTCTCTATCCCTTCTATCTTCCTTGGCATGGTGGGAGCCTCCTGAGAAGGCAACTGTAATGCCCAGTGCCTGAGCTCCCCAAAATGCATGGGTTGGGGTTCAGAGTATGGGAGGGCTGGAACAGGTTTCAAACAACTGAAGGTGTGGTAGTTTTTACTAAACCTGTACTGAGGCGGAAGAGAGGGAAAGAGAGAGAAGCCTAGACTGACACAATTACATGGTCTTCTTGCTGTTCTGTGGGTTGGGCCTCTCCTGGGGTTTGGGATGGGGAACCTGAGCCGGGTTCCTGTACTTGACTGACCTCAGTTCTCAAGTTCCCTCCCCTCTCACTCTGCTCTGGGGTTAGGGGCCAATTGGCCCCTCCTGGAGCATGAGAAGCATCCTGTTTCCCAGATCCCAGGTGTTACCCTGTGTGCCAGCCTCAGCTGCTGCCACTAGACGGGAGGGCATGTGGAATTGGAGGGGAAGAGCCTGGTCCCAGTACTGAGAGTTGGGCCTGTGCCTAGTGGAGCGTGACTGTTTCAGGGAGTGGTGAGGTGGTAGGCGCTTGGAGGCCTTGAGGCCTGATGTTTAAGATGAAACAGGATAGACCAAGGGCTTCCAGCCCAGGCTCAAGTCGTTCCTCTGTGAGGCTCTGATGCCCCTTGACTTCCTTCATCCCCTGTCTCTAGGTGATGTAGGAAATGTAGTCTCTCTCTCAGGGCTACCTTCCTGTAGCTTTAGTTACCCCAATGGTGGTGGGTGTGGGGTCTGTGTGAGTGCTCAGGTAAGCTTGGGGTCTCCAGGTAAGCAGTCCCATGTCCCAACCCCACCCCACCCCCGGGAAGCCCGCCTCCTCGCCAGGCCCCCAGGAGTTGCCGAGCCCCCCCCATCCCGCTCGGTTTGGACACCCGCAAGGCCGGCATCGGTAAATGGCACCTTTTTCTCTTCCTCTGGTTGTTATTGGGGGGGAGCGGGCAGGGGTTGGGCAGGGTATTGTGGTTGGTGAGCATAGTCCCTTAGGCCAGGGCTGGGACCTGGACAGGGACTTGTTGGCCTTCTTAACAGCCCTGCCTGATCAGAGGCCTGGGCTCTGGGGCCTCCCCACTCTGTCCTATGCTCCTCAGCTTCCCTGAGCTCAGGCTGGGCTGCATGCCCTACTGGTCATTGAGCTTGGCCTGGAGGACAGAGCTGGCCAGGCTAGGTGGTGGCAGGGTCAGTCTGCTCAGGTAAGGCAGGGACTTTGAGTAGCACAGCACATGTACCTCTGGGCCCAGCCAGGGTCCTTGGAGGCCCCTGGGGAGCTCAGCACCCACCTCTATCCCTGCCAGTTCCTTAAGGTCTCCACTCCTGTTCATTTCTGTTCTGATGTCTTACCTCGCACTGACCTCCCTATGAAAACACAGAAAAAAAAAAAAAACGGAAAAAAA